AGGACCCCGGATATCTCCAAAACAGGTCATAAGTCACACTTTCGGCAGATTGGCCCATTTTTCAGGGGTTCAAAAAATCGTTTTTTGTAAATATCTCGGCATCCAGTGGTCCAATTTTGATGAACTTTTTTTTAAATTGTAGAGCTAAATGAGGGCTACAAAATAAAAAAATGTTCATTAAAATTGAATTACTGGATGCTGAGATATTTACAAAAAACGATTTTTTGAGTTTTAGCAAAAAGGGTGTTTTTGGCCAAAAGTCCATTATGACCTTTATATTAGATATCCAGGGTCCTCTGCAATGTTTTGCAATACCGTAAATTGCAATTATTCTGCAATTACATATTTGTAGCACCATCCTTAGTTTCATATACACATTTTTTGTGAACTTCTAAATAGGTTTACAATTATCTAAAAGTATTATGCATGCATTATCTACAGAAATACTTTTAACAAATCTTGATTTAAATTGTTTATTGTTAAATGATATACATTCCAATTCTCAAGCCAATACTCTGATTCTACAAAAAGAATAAAGAAGATGTTAACAAACATCTCTTAATAAAAAATTGATTTTAAGTTTTAAAAAGAAAGTGAAACTCTTTAAAACTTACCATATCTACTACCATATTTAAGATCTAAAGTCAAATATTATAAAAAAAAATTATAGGAAATATTAATAATGTTTTCTAAAAAAAACTAATTAGAAAAATTTTTTTTAAAAAATTTTTAAAATAAATGTCTTAAAATTTACCTTTTATTTTCCAAATCAAATATGTTAAGTCTTAAAAAAAAATTATAAGAAGCATTAATTTCCTAAAAAAAAAATAAAATAATATTTTTTTAAATATTTCAAAATATAGCATCACTTTAAAACTTACCATTTTTAATATTCTGGAATGAAAATAAGCTAAAAGATCTAAAAAAAAAAGGGAAATGTTAAAAACATTTTTTTATAAAAAAATAAAAATTTTTTTTAAAAGTTTGAAGTAAAATACTTCAAAATTTACCTTTTACATTTTTTTGAAAGATCTATAAAAAATATAAAGAAAATGTTAAAATCGTTTTTTTATAAAAAAAAAATTTTTGTTTCAAAGTAAAATACTTTAAAATTTATCTTTTGCATTTCCCATTTTCCAAAAAAAAGCCTATAGTTGGGGACACAACAAATCATCAAGTTGTTTCAAATTGAGATTTTAAAAAATCACGTGATATACATAATACTAATTTGCGATTAGTTAAAAATCAAACTATATCGGGAAATGTTTTACTTTATTAATCATCAATATTTTCAAAAATAAAATCTGGAACAAATTTTTCACTGCTTTTTTCTTTTTTTAGCTATTTTTTGACAGTGTTGTGTTTGTCTCTTTAGTCGTATCATGGGAAAAAATTTTATGATCTGCATTACCTCTCAGCCAGTCATAGTTCTGGCCTAAATTATAGAATTTTGTCAAATTCTGGCCAGAATTAGATGTTTCAAATCCTACCGTTTATTAAGAAAATACCAAACTTTATAGGCTAATAACTTTTGATCTAGATCACCAATCAGGATAATCTCAACTAAACATGGGGCCCGAAACCTCTATGAGGATTTCTGAAAGTTTCGGGTTTCAGAATATACGAATTGAAACTTCATCTGAAACCCTAAACTATTTCCAAAACCCGAAATGAAACCCGAAACCTGAAACTAGTTTCGGTTATCCCAAAACTAATCCCGATACTCCGAAACTAATTCCGATTTCCGAAACTAATTCCGATTTCCGAAACTCTTTTTTATAAATTGATTGGATCAATTGGATCATCAATTCGTCATTGTAGCTAAAAAAAGAGATTGATCATATTTGATAATCTTTTTTTTATAAGAATCAAGTCTTAAAAAAATGACGGATTGTACACCTTCAAATTCAAAAAAAAATAAGATTGCAATCTATGGCGGACGCCCAAAAAAGCCTATATGGAGATTTTTTGAACAAGGAGAGGAGATAGATAAAGGGCATTATATTGCAATATGTTTGGCTTGTAGGCAGACTTTCCGACCTGGAAAGACAACAGCTATGGAAAAACATATAATTAGTAATTGTTTAAAAGTAGACCATTCAATTTGTGAGGCCGTCATATATATGGTAGAAGCACGTGAACGTGAAATCTCTTCTGGTGCTAATATTAAACGCCAAAATAATGATCAAACTATTTTGGAAGATTTTTATGAAAGTTCAGATTTAAGTAAGGAACGAAAAGAAGATATTGATACAGCACTTATTAAGGCATTTGTATGTTGTGGTTTACCGTGGCATCTAGTTGAGCATCCATTTATCATTGAATTATTTAAGCAACTTAGATCAAATTATAGTCTACCAGATAGGAAGACACTTGCTGATACTATGTTAACACAGGAAATCCTACGCGTTAATGTAAAGCTATATAGGTTGCTTGAAGAAGAGAGTAATTTAACAC